ACAGCCTGCCCCCCACCCCTTCCCACTGCCTCCATCGCTGCCTCTGTCACCTGCCTATTTTGTCCTGCTGTCTCTGCCAGCACTGCCATCTTTGGAGACAGCAGCCTAGCTCCCCTCCCAGGCTCCAGGCTTGCCATCTCTGCAAATGCACCCACCTCTCAATTGATAGGCAGACGCATGTGCAGAGGCAGCTGGTGGGGAGCTGACCTGGCTGCTTCTCAAAACAAACAAACAAAAACACCACAGTTTGACTCTTTCCATTTTTGTATATGCCAAGGATTAATTTATATGACCCCATGTTTACCTACTTCTTCGTTTGCTTTTTATTTCTGCATAATGTTTCTGCATACACAATTAAGAATAACATTTTAAAATAATAAACAAGAGTGAAACTACAGCATATCTTCCTCAGTCTGGGCTTGGATCCACTGTAATTTTAGCTGCAGTACAGCATTTTAACCACTGCGCCACGAGGCTCCTATTATTATTATTATTATTATTATTATTATTATTATTATTATTATTATTATTATTATTATTATTATTATTATTATTATTATTATTATTATTATTATTATTATTATTATTATTATTATTATTATTATTATTATTATTATTATTATTATTATTATTATTATTATTATTATTATTATTATTATTATTATTATTATTATTATTATTATTATTATTATTATTATTATTATTATTATTATTATTATTATTATTATTATTATTATTATTATTATTATTATTATTATTATTATTATTATTATTATTATTATTATTATTATTATTATTATTATTATTATTATTATTGAACCAACCCAGCCAGCTGCTCTGTGGTGGTGACAGCAGCAGCAATAAGACAAGGTAGGGAGGTGACAGGGGCAGTGGGAAGGGGCAGGGGCAAGGTGTGGGGAGAACGATCCAGGAAGTTTGGGATTGCTCCAAAAAAATGTTGACTAAGGAAAGTGTGGGTTCTCCATTTGGATGAACCCAAAGCGATCCAAACGAATGATTTTGTGATTTTGGATGAACTTCCTAGTTCGTTGTTAGCTTCATGCCCATCTCTACTGGAGACATCATCTGTTGTGTCCTGATTTGCACCACGTGGCATGCAAGAGATGATGTTTATGATGATTTCCTAACTTGAGGCAATTCACCTCTGAAAGTTAGGCCTTCTGCATTATGGCAGCAATAAAATCCCAACAGAATTTTGCCTTATGCATATACATAAAGTTAAGAACCACTCGTTGATTGGATTAGATTAGATTAGATTAAACAACTGCTACACTGCTGCAGTTCTTATCTATGGCTTTCAGAGGCTGCAGCTATAATCCAAACAACTCCTTCATTATATGAAAAAGTAAGTAAGAGGATTTCTTCTTATGATTGTTTCCTCTGAGTACAGCTGCTCATGCAATCCTGAAACATATTCCCCCTTTATCTCAGACAGTTAAGGGGGATAAAGCCCAGTTTCTTTTTCATGACTCTGGAATGCCATAGGTACCAATAATGCTACACAAAATAAATAAATTGATGATGGTGGTGATGATTGTTAGGTTTAGAAATAGTGTAATGAGAAGAACCTGAGGAACTCCTGCTATCTTGTGTAGAATCCGTTAAACGGCTTTCAGGGTGGTGGCCCCACACAACAAAATTCCCAGTAACAAGATTCTCTCTAAAGTGTGCGACTGCGCAAGCGTGTGTGACTCTAAACAACTTTCCTCCCCCCCCGCACACCCACAGAGAGCAGTTCCAGCCCCTTTGGTTAGAGTTGCAACAGAACCCCGTGGGGGAGCGCAGCCGTGCGCGGGGCTGCAGAGTCACACAAGAGAGGGGTGGAGCTCCACCCAGCAGGCCTGAAAAATAGAGGGAACATTGCCCAGTAATATTCTTTTAATAATTCTTTTAACTTCCATTACTTATAGCATTATTGTATGCTATACATTTATGCTCATTATTGTATTTCACTATCTAGTTTTTTATCACTGTGGTTATGACGGGATAGTGAAAGTACATTGTAATTACCCAAGGTGGAGTGCAGTGGCTGCTGTTCTACTAGAGCGAATAGCTGTTTCCAAAACAATTGTCTGGCTGTTTTTTAAATATGATTCTGGCTCCCCTACACAGAAAAACAGACACGTACTCCATTTCTGTGAGACAAAGTTACAGCTGCAAGGTGTGAAGAACACTCAAAACTCCAAAACTACCTCATAAAGCCTTAGGTCTTTTTCCTGCACCAGCTTCTTCACAAACGCTGCAATGAAAAGTGTCCAAGCAGCCATCAGTGTAAACGGAAGTGAGTAGGTCACGCTTGTTAGGAACCTGCAAAATGGAGCCCAGTTATTTAGTGAAATAGAAACCATGTTGGCTTCTGGAACTATAATTAACATGATTTTTGAAATAGGAAATTTTGAACAAGACAAATATGTTTTCCATGATATAAGGGCTATAACTGAGATTCATTGGATCATCCTAGGAATGGGTGAAGATTTCCAAAAAATATATATATTGTTGTAAGGTAGAAAATGGCAGCTACAGTTTTCAGATTGCATCCCCCACCCCCCGTCCTTCATTTCACTCATCTCCCTCTGTATCTATTCATGGCAAGGAGCAGGGGTACAGTTGCTCAGTATGTTTTGTTTTCTTCTGTATTTATACTTTTGAAGCCTCAGATTCCTTTTCTCCCAAACATATGAAGGATGAAATTTGAAAAAAAAAATCTTCAAAAATGAGCTCAAAGAAATTTTTTACCATTTGCATTGGCCACCTCACTGCAGATAAGATCCTAAGAGTCGGACACAACTTAACGACTAGACAATAACAACCATAAAGGCGTTAAAGATGAGGCGTCTCTTTAACCTTTAATACAAAATACAGCTGACACTAAGAAAGAAAAAGATTCAAAGGCATCTCTTTAAGAATTAAACACTAAAACCTCTAGGCCTAGATATGTGAATCCATCTGTTCCAAATTCTTCTGTCCTCAGTTTAAAAAAAAATCTTTTCCTCCTGTATATATGGAAATTTTCAAATTTTGGAAACTATATATGAAAGATGAACTTAAATAATAAAATTATTTCCCCAGTCTAACAGTTGCCAATGGTGCCAGGGGCATATGTTCCCAGGATAAGGTACAGTAAGACCCCTTTATCTGCAGGATCAGGATCAGTTGGTTCACTTATTCACAGTCCGAAAATATTAAAAATATTACAAGAAAAAACCTTGGAACCAATCTCCCATGGGATACAGGGGTCCAACTGTACTTTCTCACAGCTAGCAATATGGGAGCTAGTGCTCCCATGCCGTTCACTGCTTACATTAACAGCTGTAACAGGGTTTTTGTTATGTTAGGGCAACCTACAAAACAATGCAGTGAATTACGGACACATGAAATGGTTGAAGAGAAATCCAGGGTACATTGAATTGTTTTGTCATCTGTGATTTCAGCCAAATCACAAACTTCCATCATGCCCAAAACATTGCATACCATGGTTTGGGGATGATTTTTTCCTGTGGGTCTATTAGTAACAAGAAAAACAAAACAAATACAAAATCTTCATATTTAACCTCCCTTTCATACCCACATCCTGTGTGCTGCAGGTAAAAGGTAAAGGTTCCCCTTGACAATTTTTGTCCAGTCGTGTTCGACTCTAGGGGGCGATGCTCATCCCCGTTTCCAAGCCATAGAGCCAGCGTTTTGTCCGAAGACAATCTTCTGTGGTCACATGGCCAGTGCGACTTAGACACGGAACGCTGTTACCTTCCCACCAAGGTGGTCCCTATTGATCTACTCGCATTTGCATGCTTTCGAACCATTAGGTTGGCAGGAGCTGGGCCAAGCGACGGGCGCTCACTCCGTCGCGTGGATTCAATCTTATGACTGTTTGGTCTTCTGACCCTGCAGCACAGGCTTCTGTGGTTTAGCCTGTGATGCAGACCTGTGGCCAAATATTTTGCTCCAAGGGTCTGAAAGAAGTGTGTTGCAATCCACAGAAGCTCACACTGAAAGTACATGTTAGTTTGTCTTAAAGGTGCCACAACATTTTAGCTTGTGTCTTGCTGTTGCTGAAACAGATGTAACACATCTTGGAAAACTGATTCAACTAATGACATTGCAAACCATTCCTTGTCCTATTATGATGCTAAATACTCTGGTGATCAGGGTTCAGTTAAAGACTTACATATCTTTATTCCAGCAGGGGTAAGGTGTAGCCTGAACTTGTACAGCTATTTCTTCTGGTTTTTTCCCTGTCTGTAACTCAATTATTGCTCTGTCAATGCTGTCCTGGATGTAGACAAATGCTCGACTGTAGATTTGGCTCTGTGAGGCTGAATTATGTGGCCCTACTGTCCAGATTTTTTCTCTTATTCTTCTTGTGGTTTGCGAGATCTTGCTGCTCATTCGGATGGTATAATTGACTATTGGGGGAAGAGAAACAGCACCAGGAATTGCTCTCTCCTCTCTCTTCCTGTCTGACGGCAAGTGGAAAATGACACCTTAAAAGAAAGAGGGAGAGGAACAGACATAGAGAAAGATTGCCCAAATCAATCTGGTGTAGGGAAAAGACCAAAGGGAAAATATTTATCCTTTAAAAATCTTTGGATGCAATTATGTCATATATAGTTACAAACAAGGTTTGATTCTGTTTTTCTGCAGTACAATTCTACTCACCTTCCCATCCACCCACCCAGCTACCTCTACTATTCAAATGACATGAATACTTGCCTGTTTGAAACCAACAAAGATTTCCACCTCTTTTTCGCTGACTGTCTGTTGATATATTTTTTTTACCAAGCACCTTGCAAGTTTACTGAACTTTGTTCAGCAAGAACTAAAGAAAGGATGCCCAATAGTCTTGTACTGGGGAAGAAAACATTCTACCAGTTATGGTGGTATTGCACAACCATTTTAACACTGGGTTATCAATTATATTATGACATAATCATAATAATCCACTGGACCAGGGGTTTTCAAACTGTGTGCCGTGGCTTGGTGGTGCATCTGTGAACCAAGCTAGGGGCACCATGGGAAAAGGGATGGAACACAGAGCTATGAAGGCTGTAGAGGAGCTGTTCATTGCTCTGTGTCAAACAGGAACCACACATGGAGGCCATGTGCCTACCTCTCCTTGCCCCATCTCTATGGTCCCTAGTGGGGCGCTTACTTGGTGATCTTGTGAATTTCCTGCATCAGGACCTGGAAGAAGGGGTTCCCTCTGGGATATTTGAGGGGGGAGGAGATGGGATGGACAGGGAGGGGTATCAAGATCCCACCCGTGGTGATAGTGAGACTCCTGATGACCCCCCCCCAAGCAAGGGAAGCTCTGGCCAGTGGTCAGTAAATCAAGTGAGCTGTGACTCCAAAATATTTGGGAACCACTGCACCAGACCTTAATACCTTCTCCCTGTTAGTGGAGATACAAGGTAATACCAGAAGAGTTTATGTTGATCATGAGGTAACAGTTCAAGGAGGTGTGGGCAGATGGAAGAAGCATGTTTAAGATATGAATTATATAAGAGTTTGGAACTTGCCTCCAAGAGAAATATTGGCACTTGAGTTTTGTGTGCCCAAAAATATTTTTTTCAACCCAAAGTCAAAAATCTTATGCCGTTAAGCTGGTGGAAGGGAAATGGCATAACTCACAGTGGCAAATTGCAGCTAATTAACAATATCCTGATTCGATTTCTCACTGTGTGACAGTCAGGTGGCATGGCATACTACTAGGATTCCAGGTGGGCAACCAGCCAGTTACCCAAAGCCCACTGTTCATCTCAATTCCATTAATGTATACTGTATAATGCTATATTCCCTTGCTAGCTATAATTACTGCTAAATATAATTTTACTGTTTAAATTATGAGTGCAGCAATTGCTTTCCTTTTTTTCATTTACAACATTTTAAAAGGTGGAATCAATTCTTTCCCATTTGAAAAAAATGGCGGGAGGTTGTAACACATATTTTCTTTTGTTCTTCCACTTTCTGTTAAGAAATGAAGAAGAACATAAAAAGGACATCTCAGAACTGAGCCAGAATGACATGCAACAGACACATGTCATCTGAAAACAAGATGCACAGCCCCAATTGCTCAAAGCCTATTATTGTAACAGATGGTGTTTGTGGCAAGCCACAAGAAACTGGGCAGTCTGCTGCTTTTTGCAAGGCAATTCATTTGCTGCAGTTGTGACTGGATGATGATGGAATACAGGGATCAGATTGGATTGGGTGAGTAACATGCTTCAAACTCACAGGCAGAACAGTTTAAATTTAGCTCAACCATAAGATGTATGTTTCAACACTTGATCTTGAATAAGGTTCGGAAAAAAATACCTCAGGTCAAATGATATTACTTACTTCCAAAAAGTTCATTCTTCAGAAAGAGGTCTTTTGCCACTGTCTCCAAGTCCTCTACAGTCTTGTGGGGTTGAATGCGGTCAAATAAGACACAGGAGGAAGTATTTACTGCTAGCCCAGCTAAGGTACTAAGCTGACCTATGATTTCAGCATTGTTCTGCAATTCCAAACGTATATCAGATGGGGGTAAGGGAATGAAAAAAAAAAACAAAAGAATTATAATGCATGATTCTCCTTTGTGAGTCACAAGAATGCTGAAAAAATAATATTAATTTATTATAGTCTTTTTACTGATTCACAAGGGCAAAATGAAATCTCATCCCCATCAGAGCCTAGCACTTACTCGATAGGTAAAGTTGTATCAATAGATGAGAGTAACAATAAATGCTATGTTTCCATGGTGCAGTTTTCTATTGGAAGCAATATCACTATATATACTTAGTCAAGATGTTATAATCCCCATATACTGTCTAAAATGATACTGCCTTGTGCAGTGACTTTCCAACTATATTCCAGGGAACCTCAGTTTTCTAAGAAATGTGCTTGGTTTCAATGAGAAGATTAGGAACAGCAAGCAAAGCTCATGTGATTCCAGCTTTTCCACTTTTTTTTGAATACTTTCTAAAGTATGTGGGCATGAGATACAACCGAAAGTGTGTTCTGATACAGTCTTAGTTCATAATGCACATCAGGGTGGTCGAATAAGCCCATGGAGGAGTTACCCAGTGGTGGTATCCAAACCACATGGTAGTGTATGATTATACATAGACTTCAGAAACTAAATGAAGTGTTTAAATTTGATGTGCATCCTATGCCAAAGATAGAAGATTTATTGGAAAGGCTAGGATGAGCCAAGTACCTGTCATCCCTAGATGTGACCAAGGGTTATTGGCAAATTCTGTTGAAAGGTGCTGATAAGGAGAAGACGGTTTTTGTCACACCCAAGGGATTGTTTCATTTTACAAGAATGCCATTTGGGTGGCATGGAGCAGCTGCTATATTTCAGAGGTTAATGGATAGGGTTTTGGAACCTGTCAAGACATTTTTGGGGGCTTACATTGATGATATCTTGATTTACAGTAACAGCTAGGCGAAACATATAGAGCATTTAGAAAAGGTAGTAGTGGAGTTAAAGAGAGCCGGGCTGAAAGTAAATCCCTCTAAATGTAAGATAGCCAAGAAAGGAGTGAAGTTCTTAGGATTTCAAGTGGAGCAAGGCAAGATACAACCTGTATCTGATAAGGTAGAAAAAATTTCAGCATGGACTCCACCAGAGAGTAAGAAGGAAGTCCAACAATTCTTAGGATTAGCCAGTTACCGCCAATTTGTCCCTAATTTCGCAGAAATAGCTGCCCCGCTCACACATCTGACTAGGAAAAGACTGGCTAATAAAGTAACCTGGGTGTTCAAAGAACAGAAGGTTTTTGAACATTTAAAGAAAATATTAGCTGAGCTAACCAGCTGTTACGCCCTAGATTTCAATTTGTCTTTTATAGTGCAAACTGACACTTCAGACGGAGGGATAGGGGCAGTGTTATCTCAGGAAAAAGAAGGAATAGAATATCCAGTAATGCATCTAAGTAAGAAATTAACACGGCACGAACAAAACTATGCCATCATTGAAAAAGAAGCATTAGCAGCCAAATGGGACATACAAACACTAAGATACTATCTGCTAGGCACCCCTTTCACATTGGTTACTGACCATGACCCTTTACAATGGTTGAATCATATGAAAGATACCAATTCTAGGCTAACCAGATGATACCGAAGCCTTCAACCTTTTGCATTCCAAGTCCAATATAAAAAGGGTAGTACTCATGCTAATGCTGGTTATTTTTTCCTGACAGGGAGAATGGGAAGCTCCAATAGAAGAGAGGATGGCCCACTCGGGGGGGGGACATGTGAAGGAGAACAGTATACAAGTATGCCATTCTCATCAACAGGACCTGAAAAGGAGGAAAAGGAGATCAAAGAGGGTGACATAGAAGGAGTGACAGGAGTGTTGGGGGATGGGAAGAAAGAAATAGAGGTTTGTTTGGTGGAGGAAGGAGAAGGAAGAAAAGGGGAGGAGTTAAAACTTTCTTTGTGAGAGGAGGAGATAAAAGAAGGGGAAGAACAGAGGTTTAGCAGGAGGGTGATAGAAAAAGGGAGAAGAGAGGATCAATCAGAGATAGATTCAGGGAATGTTGATCAGAAACATGAGAAAGCACGCAACCTACTTAAAGACTTCCCTAATCTGAGAGTAGGAGGTCCACTTCCAAATCCAGACATTCCTAAAGAAGGAGAAATGGTCTATGAACACAAGAATGGACCGTGATTGTGTTTCCACGCGGACAAGGATGTGAGAGGAAGGTGATTTGCCCTGATCCAATGTACAACAGCCCACCAAGGGAGGGAGATTGGGCATGACACCCATGTTGTGGGACAGTATGAGCGATGAGGAGTGCTCCCCTATGCAATATTACCAATCATGAATGTTTTGGGCCAGCCCCACAGTGAATGGACTGAAGTTGGACGATGAGTCCCAGTTAACTTGTTATGGACAGTTACCCGATTTGTCGTGTTTCAACCCAGTTGTTATTGATGTTGAGACTACACAAGAGAATAGATCAACAATTGTTAATCCTTTAATTCAGTCTCAGCCTCTTCTTCCCACCAAAAGTGAGGAACTATCACCAGTTTTGAAAGAACCCAAGCACATTTTCATAGACAATGGGATTTTTCCCAGTGCACATCTGGTCCATATTACTTTCCCCATAGAAAGAAACAGTAACCTTCTGCTTGTGTGTGAGAATTAAAAAATGACAATGTATGGCCAGAAACACTGCTAGTGATGCAGTCTGTCCCTGGCCACTTCAGTTGCCCTCTTTTCTAACTGTGGCTCAATTATTTTGCCTCAGTGGGAGCCACTGAGGACTGAACCCGCTGTGGCTCTCAGAAAGAGGACCACAGTAAGGGGAAGAGTAGGGAACAGTTGCAGGAAGTTTGCTTTCTGCTCCACACCAGACAGAATGCTGGGTTCCGAATGCAAGGCATCCCAGAGCCACAGTGATTAGAAGAAGGAAACTCTGACCCCTGCCATTGGCATCTCTTCCTTTGTCACATTCAAACATGATAGTAAATGGGGACAAAGAGACAACCCCAGGTTTTCATATACAACATGACAGAACAGCTATCCTGCTGAAAAGGAATTCAACATGTAAAAGATTAATCTGTTTTCTCTCTTATAACTTGTCTGTATAGATATTGTGTAATTGTAGATTCCAGTTCACTGAGCAGAGTCTATACCTGAAACCTTTAAATCTAAATTACTCTGGAAGAGTTTATACAGTTATTTTCAGGTCTTAAAATCATAATTATATTATTATGGCAGAACAGCATACTCCAGTGGCCAGAAGACATTACTTTAATGGCTGAAATCTTGTTGCTTAGTGTTGTAGTAAGTCACCAATAGAATAGGTCCATTGAATCAGTGGGGATTTGGTGAGTCAAGTTCCACTGATTCAATGGTCCTACTCTAGTTCTGAGTTACTATGCTACTTGCTGTTTTCTGACATGTAGATACAAAGCAACTGCAACACAAAGAATGTAAGTTCTTTGGGAGAGGTTTTTTTAAAATGAGTTTCTGGCCACATATACACCTGCCTAGATTTTGAGAGCCATATTTTGGGTGTATATCACCAGAGAATGCAGTTTGCACAAATACATTCCACAATAGCTCTTTACCGGGAGTTCCGGAGGCATCACACACTCTCAAACATCCTCATATAAAGCTCTTAAAGGGATACAAAAATAATCTAGGAAGGCCTGTGTTGCTCTGTTCTTTCTCCATGATGCTTTTTCTCTGTGTGCAGTGGCGGAAATAATCTCCTAGGTGAGCAGAATATCCCAGTTTACCATTGAAGATACATATGGCACTCTTCAGTGCAGAAACTGTACAGAATCAGGCGTGCTGTGCTGAAAACCCATCTCAGCCACAAACTGACTATGTGTGATATACTTCTAAAGCAAAAAGTTGCTAGTGTTGACCAAACAAATTCACTTGCCACCTCATTATTATTATTATTTCTATCAGCTGAACTAAGAATATGCGTCTTTTAAGAACATCTCACAAAAATGCTACAAAACCTTGTTCCTGTTAGCTAAAGAATTGTGTCACACATATGGAGTTTTTGGTATTAAGATTTGAAAGATGGGAATCTGACTTTAAAAATGGACAAGTCAAGTCACCCATTGAATTAATTTGTTGTTCTCTGTTGAAGGCTTGTGGATTTAGCTGTTTTACAGAACAGAGCTATATGCGTAAAATGGAAGCAAAGGGAATGATTTGCCATTCACTATTAATTTTGCTAGAATATGGAAGCAAAGGGAATGATTTGCCATTCATTCATTTTACTAGGACACATGAGTCTTCCCAAGTCCAAATTCTGCAAATGAAATATGTTATGTCAACTGTACTAAGCAAACTTACATAACTTAAGGGGAAAAAAATAAACACCTAGGATCAGTCTGTTCACATTTTTTTCAGTAACCAATATACAGTACAGCTTTGTAATGTAATTATGTTTCACAAAAAAGTGTATTTGAGGAATGGGTGGTGGTTAAAAATAATTTTGTGAGGACATGTGTAGTTTTAGAAGAGGTAGCCATGTAAGTATGTGCTACCATAGCAGGGGAAAACAAAATAAGTATTAAAACAAGAAATAAAAAAAATAAAAAAGAAGTGCGATTTGTCCATGAAAGCTCACATTAAAACTTAGCAGTTAGTCTTTAAGGTGCTAGTCTGTTTTTGTCTTCTTTTTATTTTTTATCTTTATTTTTTGGTTTGGAGCCTGATTTGTAAGAACAGATGCCAGGCATAAGAAATTGTATTCTCAGTGATGATGCTGAGATTCCTAACAAGACTTCCTCCTCGCTTATTTCATAAGTACCTCCACGTTTGCAAGGATTAAATAAAATACATTGTCTCAGGTATCTGTATTCTTCCATCTTCAGATATAATTTGACCAATCACCGCCATTTCTTGATAAGATGAATGTATGTGACTTACCCAACTGATCAATTTGGTTTAGAAGATCAACAGCATCCAACTTCACCATGATCTTGATGAACACTTGAACAAAAGGATTCTGCAGTGTATTCTATCAAATGACACAATATGTTTGCTTAAACAAAGTATATCAAATTATTCAGCTACTTTCCAAAATTAGACCCATAGCTGCAGAAATAAGAAGTGAGTCCCCTGTGAGGAAAGCTTGAACAGCTCCTGGTGAATGCTGAAGCGCTGGCCTTTATGATTCAGAATCAAAGAGACAAATTATAGGAAGTGCAGTTCAGACTGAGATTAAGGTTGTGGGACAGAGGATTTATTTAACACCATGCTGTGATATTAAACACATACCAAGGATGAAAAACCCCTGAAAAATCAAGACCCTTAGCAAATAGATCTCAATGTGTAAAACTGGCACAAAGGGAAAACTCCCCATGTTGTGCCATATCTAATCCCTCCTTCATGTCAGTCCTCCCTCATTTCTGACTAATCTAACAACTCCTACCTCAAATTAATATAAAAGTAGATATGTTCCTAAACACATTTTGAAAATCTGACTTTAATCAATTTCTCAAGTGGGTTTAGCAATGCACCTACTTTTACTGGCACTTAAGTGGTCACACAAACTTTTGAAATCCTACAGGGAGGCATGCTGGAATTCAAAATGAGAAAGGCTGCTTACAGGAGAGGTTTATCAGTTTTGATTTCTAAGAACTGAGATTAGTTATAAATCTGAAGCAGATCTGAGCTAAATAAAAATCCTGCCTTGCAGCAGTTACAAAAACAATCCCTATATAAGACAGAACACTCCAAATACACCTGGAAGGCATCTTTACTGACAACATTCATAAGCATGTTTCATAGGAGATTTTCCAATGGGCATATTTGGACAATAAGAACCCATTGTTCCAATATTATTAGATACATGCATCCCCCACCCCACATCCCAATTTGTGGAAAGCAAAAAAGAGAACAAATTCCCCACATGCCTTTGTTTCCACATGTTATGCTAAATTTGGCATGCTTCTCATAAGTTCCTACGTTATAATTATTTCTGCCAAATATACTGTCAGGAATTCTACTTGGCGCACCAGAACTGACAAAAGCACCACTGCACAGAAGGCTGGCTGCAAAACCATACAGAAAAGAAGATGAAAATAATTGTTTCAAAAGGACAGACCACCAAAAAGGAACAGAAAAAGCCACGTCTGAGCCATCTCAAATGAGTTGGAGCACCAACAAATGAAGAAGGCCAACATTTTAGTTTTAATACAACTACATTTCAGCTTATTTGAAAATATCCAAACAAATAGAATGGGTTGGGGTTGTAGACAGAAGATGTGGAATGCAAGTATTGTCTGCCCCCTGCTTTTCTTCACCACCATGGTCAGGCTGGGATGAGGAAGCAGCTGGAGATATTCGGCCCACTTAAGGAACGGACGGTTCTAGTATAGTTGCTATAAAGGTGTGCCAAGGTACACTTTTATAAGATGTGGTAAAGGGAAGTGGCTTGCTGGACAAGCAGCATGGTCAACAAGATGAGTTGGGTTTGTTAGACTGTACACATAACAAAGTGCATTCCTGAACATGAATAAAATTGACTGTTTGGGTGGTTTTGTTTTTTGTTTTTGGCTGAGAAGCAGTATTTAACTGCGAACTAAACTGAACAAATGCTAGTCTTTGCTTATCTTCATTTGCTGAATCAATGCAGATACTTTATGATGAATTAATGCATATAATTTCTTCTAAGCCCTTTTGTTCCTAAAATGAATTTATGATTGTTGGTTATTGATTTGCTAAGTACCTTGTTCAGACAGACAATATTGTGTAGACTCCACAGTGTTATGACTTTATTCCATTGGTATCAAAGAAAAGACTTACACTAAGTTGATAGAATTAATTAGGGGGTTTACTCTTGTTTTGTTTTATTTTAGTCATGCAACAGTGGGGAGTCTGCTAGAATGGAGGAGACGCTTATGCAACTTTCCTTCCGCTCTGCATTTAGGCAACAGAACACTAGCTTATTTTAAGAAAACAAAGAAGCACGATTCTACAGAACATGGACCATACCCTTCCTGTACCTTGTTTTGGCCCAGAAGGCTTCAAATTGAGATGGGGAGTGAACCCAGAACCAAGAAATGATTTCTAATCACTTCCTGTTTAATTATTTGGTGTTGGCAGCCAATCCAAAGGACAAATACACCCTTATACCTAGAGTGGTGCCGAGTCATTTTCTAGATAACTATCCAACAACTATTTTACATTTTGGAGGGGGAGATGATTAAAAGGTTTCCAAAAGAGTAATCCTGAGGATGGAGACACAGACCGTTTCCAGTTCCCTTTAGTGATGATAACTCAGATTTAGATAAATACAGCCTAGGAGCCTCATAGTTATAAAACCAATTTGATGCACAGCTGAGTATAAGTTACATTTAAAATGAGAACTCAGGGGTCTAGCTTGGTCAGCCAATGCAGTTCTTAAAAAGCTGTATACAGTGGTGCCTCGCTAGGCAGTTACCCCACATGACAGTTTTCTGGCTAGACATTGACTTTTGCGATCGCTATAGCGATATGCAAAACAGTGATTCCTATGGGGGAATTTCGCTGGACAATGTTTGGTCCCTGCTTCGCAAACCAATTTTCGCTAGACAACGATTTTGACAGCTCCCTCCACGCTCACAAAACGGGTGTTTTCAGGACCTAAGCTTCGCAAGACAGCTATTTAAACAGCTGATGAGCGGTTCGCAAAGCAACTTTCCTATGGCCGATCTTCGCTAGACAACGACGATTCTTCCCCATGGGAATGCATTAAACAGGTTTCAATGCATTCCAATGGGGAAATGCTTTTCGCTAGACAATGATTTTGCTAAACAGCGATTTAAGTGGAATTAAATCATCTAGCGAGGCACCACTGTATTCACCTTTCATTAGAAAACCAATAGGGATGTTATTTGTTGCCAACTGAACCCAAATGAGCTTCAATTGGCAACGAATACTATTGCTCAGATTCCTGCCCCTGTACCTGGAGAGAGACAGCCCTACTGCCCCAGAGACCAGGAAGCAGGCATTCTCAGGTCTACATGCAGAGGCTCTGGACTACATAGGACTTTATAGATGATTGCTAAGTCTTTAAATTAGAGCTTAAAAGTAATTAGGAGGTGCTTCAGCTGAATCAAAGCAGCCCCCCCCCATAGTTTATACTGGTCAAAACGCATGGAAAAGCATTTGCACTAAGTGCAGCTTCCAGCCATATGTACTGTGTTGTGGTACATAGACTTTGCTCATAAAGATCAAGTCCATTGTACATGGCTACTCGAGTTAGCCGCTTAGATTATTACATTTCTAAGTCAAAATAAAACACAGCAGGCATCATCTTAAAAACCTGAGTGACTTAAACAGGGTACTGTTTCAACACCTCTTTAAAAAAAAGTTTGTATGAGAATAAACATTGCACTATCTCACTGTAAACATCATCTTGCAACATTTCATATTGAGTGCCCTATACAGCCTTATACAGCCCAGTCCTCCAGATTTGAGGGTAGGATATCTAGATGGACAGATGAAAGGACATGAGCTCTTGTTGAATCCTTCTAGTGTCCCGGGCTTTTCTCTTCTGGCACACATATGCAAATACACTCATCCACATACTGTCTCCAATGTGCTCATCTTTCCTTTCACATTGCATGGGAAAACAGCTATAATGCTAACACACTAGTAAAAACATTCTTTTTTGTGGGCTATTATCCTGCTGTACTAGATGCTTGCATTCCTGGACATTTTGTTATTTTGTCATTCTCTCTCTCTCTCTTTGTGTGTGTGTGTGTGTGTGTTTATGAGTGGTGGGGAAACTTTTCCGCTGTTTCCACATGTATTTCAGTCCATGGTAGGGATGCCTAGATTAGGCAACATGCTTGGAATCCCATGCAACGGAGTTCTCAGCTACCACAAAATAAAAGTAACATACAAAATCAGTGGTATCTGTTAATGAGATGAAGAGTGATTACCTTCACTATTGGGATGGTTTCATTCAACATGGCCAGTGAGTTCATGAGCAGTGGTGAACTGTCCAGCCACTCCTGGGATTTTTGCATTAAATTATCCATCAGTTTCAACGTTGAATTAGACTTAGAGAAATGAAACAAAATAAAAGAAATCGAGAAGTCAATAAAAATGCATATCTGGGCAATCACACAGATTTAAAGGATAAAGCTCTCAATATAAAAGTGTTATCCTTAGTCACAAAATAATACCCAGTGTGATTTGTTACCTCAATCACAAAAACAAATGACTGCTAATATGATAATAACACTAATTTGGAAGGCAAATATTGGGAGTGTTTAGGAGTGCCTGAGGCCTTGGTTTGCGACCACTCTTGTTCATGTTAATAGTAATTTCTGAGCAACTGCTTGTACAAGACCTCTTTTCAACCAAGTCACATATTCTGAAGACCAATTCACATTATGAATTCTGCCCCTCCCCAGGCCACTGTGGAAACAATCTTCTGACTGCTGTTTGCTACAAGTACCAAGTGTTTTCTAATAACTGTGAACTATTGATTTCATTGAGTGTGGCATTACCTTTTCCATGATTGCTCGTGTTTCAGGGGTGTCTGGTGTATACAGAATCCTTCCAAGCAGCATGGGCTTCAGAAAAGACCAGATCAAAGCCCCAGCAGGTGTCTTTACCAAGTCCAAAAAGAATGATAAACAGAATGGTGCTTTAAAAAAAAGATGAGGGAAATTAGCACATTTAACACAGATGCACATAGTCTTAGGGAGGATATTTGCAGGTTGCTGGCAGATTCTTAGGGAATCCTTTGGGACTCTTGCCTTCACATACTGATGTGATGCCGTTTGACAAAGCTCATCTTCCCCAAAGACCTCCCATTGCTGAACTCAGCCAACAAGGTTTTCATTGTTTTTGGGGGGGGCGTGGGGGGGAAGCTTCACCTTCTATTTAAGGTTAAATGGAAGTTTTTGAGCTCAGAGGAGCCAATGTCTGTCAATACAGCTGGGGGAAAAAAGAACAAAGAGACCAACTCCTCCAAATGAAAGCAGTGACCTTTTTAAATACAAAAGCCAAATTCATTGGGGACTTGAGATTCAGTGATGTATTAAAGCCACTCCAGCTCCTGCCTAGATTACTTCAGTTTTCAGATATAAACTTTTCCTCATAAAGAGGGTTCAAAGCTTGCATTTCTTTCCAAAGGATCTTCAAAAACTCAGCAACATGTGAAGTCATCCTCCCCGACCCTCCCTGCTCCATTTTCCTGTCCTTCAGATTTCAATCATGCCTGGAGTGGAAGTTGCTGAAAGACACCTTAAAATACCAAACAGAGTCAGACCACTGGTTCATCTCACTCCAGTCTTGTCACTGGAGCAGGGATTGGATTCCCAGGAATCCAAGGTCCCCTTATCCGTCTTGCCCAGCCCAGCTAGCGGAAATCCTCTGCAACTGCACTCAGTGTGCTCCATATGCAGAAGACATGCTCTACAACTGAACAAGGGCCTCTCCCTTCTTGTAGCATCCAGTTAGACAGTCAGTCAATCAATCAATCAATCAATCAATCAATCAGTCAGTCAGTCAGTCAGTCTGTCTGTCTGCCTATCTATCTGTCTGTCTGTCTGTCCGACCAACCAACCTCCAGCGCTTATCTTCATAGTAGCAGTATGATTTCCTGTGCCTCATACTACTAGCTATGAAGTCAGAATATACGCTCTTAGATCTTTAAAGCCCCACATTTATAGGGGCCACTTATATGACTATAAATCTCAAATGCCTTTTCATGGTAACTTTATTGGTAAGAAACGTTCTACAAGACCCAGGGGAGGCAGGAGAGAGGGCTATTCCTGGGCCTCGAAATGCAAGTCTGTAGAGATTTAGCACAATTCACAATTCTGTATCAACTACACAATGACTATTCAATAACAAGAGAAAACAAGGGCCATCCATTCAGGGCATCTACAGTGGTGCCTCGTTTAATGATGTATTCGCTTAACGATGAAGTTTTTGGAGCAATTTTGTGCTCCGTTTAGCGATGTTCCCTATGGGGAAATTTCGCATAGTGATGTTCAGGACCTTGCCTCACTTAGCGATGACAATTTTAGGTCCCCTGTTTCGCTTAGCGATGTTCTGTTTTCGCTATTTTTAAAGTGTCTTAAAATGTTCAGAAATGGTTTTAAATGCTTGGGATTGTTAGTGCACCTTCTAACACCTTTGCAAACTTAATTTGGATTTGTTCTGACTCTTCGTTAATTTTTGGTGAATTCCCCCCCCCATTGGAATGCATTGAACTGCAGGTTTGACAGCTGTGAAGCATAAAGATCCCAAGCATTTACAGTGGGGTCTCGACTTACGAACGGCTCGACATACAAACATTTCGACTTACGAACCACTCTCATAGGAATATATGGACTCGACTTACGAACTTAGATTCGAGCTACGAACTCTTTTTTTCCTTTTTTTAAAGCTAAGTCATCTTAGGTTAAAAGGAAAAAAGAAAAAATATCCCCCTCTAGTGGCAGAAGGCGGAATAGCAGCTTCCCATTAGTTTCTATGGACAAAAAGAGCAGATACGGATTAAATGGTTTTCAATGCATTCCTATGGGAAATGCAGATTCGACTTAAGAACTTTTTGACCTGAGAACTGCCTTCCAATACGGATTAAGTTCGTAAGTCGAGACCCCACTGTAAAACCATTTTTGAACCTTTTAAGACACACTTAAAATTGCAAAAACAGACATTGCAAAACCATTGGAATGCACTGAATAGGCTTCAATGCATTCCAATGGGGGAAACATTGTATCGCTTAGCAATGTTTCCTATGGGGATTTTCGCTTAAGGACGGTAATATTAACCGGTTTTCAAGGCATTCCTATGGGAAATGGTGTTACGCTTAGCGATGTTTTCCCATAGCGATGTTTTTTTGGGAACCAAGTAACATCGTTAAGCGAGGCACCACTGTACTATGATTCAACAATCCTAGTTACTGATGCAAATCTTATTGAGCCTCATATGTGTAATTTCTATGACACTCCCCCCTCTCTCTTTCTTTATCCTAGCCTAACCAGGAACTTGTTAGCTGTCACCTTGTCAATGATGATGAAGACTCTGAACTCTAGTCTGACATTAATTACTAAGCATGCAAAATCAACATGTGAGGAGGAGTTCTCATTAGTCCCACTTTCTCCAATTCCTGGTTCTGCCACCCTTTATATACTGAGGAGAAAGGTCTAAAGAGAACCTTCACTACCCTGTTTCCCTGAAAATAAGACAGGATCTTATATTAATTTTTGCTCCAAAAATGCATTAGGGTTTGTTTGTTTGTTTGTTTGTTCAACTTATATGCCGCCCACACTACCCAAAGGTCTCTGGGCAGCTTAAAACATTTAAAATACAGTAAAAAAGATAAAACAATTAAAATACAATTAAAATATATATACTCTAAAAAATGCCATCAGGACCCACAGTTGATATTATTTCAATTAAAAGCCTTCTGAAACAGGAAAGTTTTGACCTGGTGCTGAAATGTCATCAGCATCAGCGCCAGACAAATCTCAGCCAGGACGGTGTTCCATAGTCTGGCGGCAGCTGCTGAAAAGGCCCTTGGTCTACAAGCCAACCCTCTTACCTTCTTGAGGGACGGCTCTTTCAAAAGAGCCCCCTGGCTAGATTTTCAGGGGATGCTTTGTTTTTTTTTCCCCATGTAGATTCTCCGTTTATTCAAATACAGTCACGTCATCTTCTTCTGGTTGCTGCACAATGGTGGAGGGCAGCCTTTCACTTAACTAGGGCTTATTTTTTGGTAGGGCTTATATTACAAGCATCCTGAAAAATTATACTAGGGCTTATTTTCAGGGAAACAAGGTATTTATTTATTTAATTAATTAATGGATTGATAATTAATCCATACTTAGGTTCTCCCTGGAAACATCAAGGCTCTAACTTGGAAAGCCACCACAGATAGCAGAGATATAGGATGTCTACTCTACATGTAGAAAGGGAATGGGAATTATGATGGGGAGTGGGGCTAACATACTCTCCCTCCTCAGGTCTTGATTTAATACAGTTAACAACTTCACAGAACTCCAGAGCTTTAGTCTACACAAGACTTCAGCTGGCATCTCGGTTGTTTGGGGGGAAATTGATTTATTTGGGCTCAGAGGCACACCAAGTGCAGAATCTCAGTTGGAACAAGAATCTCTGAAGCAGTATCGCCATGTATGTTCCAACAGGTAATCCCACTCATAACTACTATAGCTAGATACCCTACAGGCAACGGGCTGCATGGACATAATGCATAGGTTTGTTTAGCTACTTTTTCATATACGTGTTTAGGGAGAGCAAGAAGCATACATGTTGAGAGCTGCTGAAAAAAAGCAAAAATACTTGAAATATTCTCCAGACTTTCCATGAGCATCTTAGAGAACAGGGAGGCAAAACAGAAAAGTCTGTAGAAATGAACAGGTCAGTTTTGTTCAACCTTAATTAGACATAGTTCCTACTGAAAAGAATAATAAAAAAAACTGGGTTCATACTTTCCTAAACTGGTCTTGGGAAAGTGGGACTAATTCACCAATGGTGGCAGTGCTTTTACCCCGGGCCATTAACGTGAATCAGAACTTGCCTCTGTTTGATCATTCTGCTAGATTGTGGCCATTTGAATTTGCAAGGGGCTTCAGCTAGAAATCTAATTAACTACTCACTGGAATCCTGTGGAATTCCATATTTCTTCATAATGTGTTGCACACGCTCATCTTGGACAGAAGAATGGTGAACATTCTGCTCTTCAAAATCAGGTAGCAGGGATTCAAAAAACAAAGGAGTGATCTCCTGATTGCAGAGGGCTTTTGAAATGGTTTTGAATGTCCCTCCATTTACTGTTAGGTTGGTAGTCTGAACCAGTGCCTATAGAAACAAAGAGACAACATACAGAATGGAATGAAAAATATACAAAATAGAAGGGTTTGGCAATTAAGATTATGAGAACATTCAGATTTATGCAGGGCATAACATTCAGATGGCACTATTTACACTGTATGCCAGCATGGGCTGAGAGCATATTGTATAGCTGCAACCCTTCACAGACCCCTAAAGCTACATGAGAACAGTCTCTACAGCTCATTGTAATTTTAATAAATTATGCAGTCACACACAAAAATGAAGAATACAGGATTACAAAACAATTTATGTTGACAACCAATACAGAAGTTACTGACACAAGGAACAAAGGACAGGGGATTTCAAATGGCTAGGATGAACATGCATTAATTGCCACTATCATGTAAACAAAAACTTTATGTTGCATTACATGTATACTTTATCTGCAAAAGGGACTACCAGCACTCCACTATGCGATCCAGTAAATTCTTACCAAATCTCTGACAGGATTTTATTGCACTGCAGTGTGATAATTAGTTGACAAATATGGAGATGTTTGTGTTATTATTAAGACACTTCGCAAATAGTCACTGTAATGATAGTACATATATTTAACCTCTGGTGTAATTCTCCATATCATTACTTGTTGCATTTCATTTGCATCTGACCCCACTGCTAAACAACTTTCCCCTCTAGAATCATAAGGGCACTGCTTCTGTACTTCTGGCTTTTGCTTCAGCAACCTAACCCAGCTCCTTCTCTGGGAACATATTTTTTTACTCTAAAAGGCTTATCAATTTTAGACAGGACATGTAGGAATACTGAAGGGAGACGTATGTACTCATGCACAGACACAAGTCCCTGATGAACGTCTACTTCTTAGAAGCCCCTCTTGCCCCTGTGCACCCTTTCTTACTCTGGCACCTCCCCACAAGTTTCCCTCAAAATAGATGATGTGAAGAGTCTTATCATCCTCTTCCAAGATATCTTTCCACCCACTTATTTGTCTCTCTCTCCCATCCAAATCCAATTTCAGTACATCTGATTTCAAGGATAAGGAGTCTAATTCAAAAGTTTAGGTTGCTCACACCAGTGGTAATGCTTCTTGGGGGATCTAATCTAACCAAGCCCTGATAAGGCCGAGCTTTACATGAAGGTACAGTAGTTTGGTGCAGAGTACAATTAATAAGTTATTAAGCTAGACATATAAAAAGGTAAAGATAAAGGTTCCCATTGACATTTAGTCCAGTCATGTCCAACACTAGGGCATGGTGCTCATCCCCATTTCCAAGCCATAGAGCAAGTGTTTGTCTGAAGACAGTTTCTGTGGTCACATGGCCAGCACGATTAGACATGGAATGTCATTACCTTCCCAACGAGGTAGTACCTATTTATCTACTCGCATTTACATGCTTTTGAACTGCTAGGTTGGCAGGACCTGGCACAAGCGACGGGAGCTCACTCTGTTGTGTGGATTCAATCTTACGACTGCTGGTCTTCTGACCCTGCAGCACAGAGGCTTTTGCTGTTTAACACGCAGTGCCACCATGTCCATAGACATATAAGCCTACTCAAACACTGACCAAAATCCTCCTGCATATCACAGTAAATCAGACTAAAGCAGTGTCATGATGATGGGATATGTAGTCAGGTTCTGTGTGGAGATGATTTAAGGGACTTTGGAGTGTGTTTTCCTGAAGACCGTTACGGCTGGGATCGAGATAGCGTTTTGAAGGCCAGATCGAGGGGCCCCTGAAGACTCAACATTCCAAGCTTGTTACAGAAGAGATAAACAACACCTGGACTCTCATGGAAACAAGGGCAGGAGAGAGGTGGTACAACCTCTAAAAAGTTAATTGGTTAACAGCCAAAAAGGCCATGAAAAAGGGAGGAGTTAGGGGGTAGAAAATGGATGATGGGTTATGTGAATGTGATTGAGACTGGATGAAATGGATTCTATTCTGTTCTGGATTTTGTTCCACGATGATGGTATGAGCATGTAGCTTGAAGGAGAGAGGATGTAAGTAAGGAGAAAGAAGGAGGTGGGGGCTAGCCCACCATAGCCCACCACAGCCCACCTTAGATTAGCTTTTTAGTGTTTATTATTTTAAATGGGAAATAGTTATCTTATTTAACTGCAATGATCTTTGAATATGTTTCTTGATGCTAATGCTTATGCAATATAAACTGAATTCTAATGAAACTCTATTTTTCTAATAAAAATTAATTATAAAAATCCTTACAGATGACTGGCTTCTTGAACAGCAGGGACTGGTTAAATCCAGGAGTGCAGAGGGCCACAAACTAGCTATCATTTAATAGCCCTACCTAACTGAGCTGTTGTGAGTGCTAAGGAATCACAAAGCCCATGTGCCTGTACTTGCAAAGTACTGAGTAAGTGCAAAGTGTTCTTTCTAGGTCAGATTTGTTCAAAGGGCTTATGCTACGCACTGCTGAGGTATTGGGACTTGCCCCAGCACAAAGGTGGTAGATAAGTGCCAGTCGAACTCTCTGGCTGAATGCCCTGTGGCCGTTTAGGGGGTCTGGTGCATCACAAGCAGGTCCGTTGAACCAATAGAGATTTAATGAGTTCACTCCTCTATAAATTCCATTGATTCAAATGGATCTACTCCAACTGTGACTGACTATGTTAAAGAAGGTTACAGTTAGAATAGAGCTATTTGAATCAAGGGAAATTGTGGAGGAGTTGACTCACCAAATTTCCATTGATTCAGTGGAATTACATGAGTGCAATTTACCATGCTAAGCCACAGGATTTGGGCCATTAAGCCTGAAGGGCTCACAAGATGTTTGTGCTATGGCAATGTAGATATGTTCTGTCTTTACCCCATCCAGAATGCATGCTGACCTTTGTTCAGCACTGAGGGCTACGCAGTCATGTTAAGTGTAGTGCGGCTGGACGGGTGGATGGGCTTCTGTCCGCAGCATTTACTTATTTCCTACTCATTTATATTATTTGCTTAAGAACATAAGAGCCCTGCTGGATTAGGCCAAGGGCCCATCTAGTCCAGCTTCCTTTATCTGACAGTGGCCCCACCAGGTGCCTCTGGGAGCACACAAGACTAGATACCTATCTTCTGATACCCCTCCCCTGCATCTGGCATTTAGAGGTACCTTCCTTCTAAGCCTGGAGAAGATTATAATCCCCATCATGGTTTGTAACCTGTGATGGACTTTTCCTCCAGGAATCTGTCCAACCCTTTTTGAAGGCATCTAGGCAGATGCCATCACCACATCCTGTGGCAAGAAATTCCACAGACTAACAACACGTTGGGTAAATAAATTTTCTTTTGTCTGTTCTCAGTCTCCCAGCACTTAATTTGAGTGGGTGTCCCCTTCTTCTGGAATCCTGATCCTGGTTCTGGCATTGCGTGAGAGGGAAAGGAGCTTCCTTCTATCCACTTTATCCACCCCCTGCATAATTTTATACATCTCAATCATGTCCCCCTCAGGCGAGCCCCAAATGCTGTAGCCTTTCTCATAAGTGAGGTGTTCCAGCCCAGTCATCATTTAAGTCACTCTCTTCTGCACCTTTTCCTGTTCCACAATGTCTTTTTTGAGGTGCTGCAACCAGAACTGTACACAATACTCTGGGTGCAGACTTACCATCATTTTGTACAGTGGCATTATAATGTTGGCTGTTTTATTTTCAGTCCCCTTTTAAATGATACCTAGCATGGAATTGGCCTTCTTCTCTGCCTCTGTATGCTTGCATCCCCAGAGGGTCCCCAAGGCAGATCACAACAATTAAAACTATACAATGAGGAACATTTTTAAAAATAAGATTAAAAGCTATATTAAAAAACAATTAAACAATTGTCAATATTAAAAACAAGATGTAGAAAAACTAAAAACATCTCACAATCTCTAAATTTAGTATTTCTGAGACCCACCAACCCCACATACACTTATTGCTTAAACATTTGTCTGAAAAAGAAAGTCTTTGCCTGAAGATGGAAAGACAAGAGGGAAGAAGCAAACCTAGCTTCTTGGGGCAACACAGTCTGAAGCCTGGGAGCAAACACTGAGAAGGCTCTCTGAAACCATCCTTTGAAGCCAATGTACACCCAGGCTGAACTTCTGAATAGGGCTCAAGATGTGTATATTTTGTCAGAATCAATAAAATGTGCCATTTTGCTTTTTATCACAATTCACAGCGCTGGATTTAAGGGGCTAACAGCATTAAACAGACAAGGACTAGGAAATCAGAAGACTTAAATTTCCCCTAAGAAAGCAACATAAGAGGCTTAGCTCAGAATGTCCCCACCTTCTAAGGAAATCTGGGAAGCTACAAAAGGAAGGTTACCAGAGTGAAGGTGCATCAGCGGGAGAACCCCTTCCCTTCAACTATTCTCCAGATGCTAATTCTGAGGACCTAAACTATCTGGTTAAAACAGTTCTACTTTTCCGTTGAATTCAGAACACTGACAGCTCTTTACATGAGTTCTAGTGGATTACAGCTTTCTACATGTTGTTGAAAAATGCTTTTGCTAGTATCATTTTCTATTTCTTTCTACAATCCTATTTGGAAGCCACACAGAAATGGTTGTACTGAAGACAGGTTAATATATTTTAAAATCTTGCCCATATTTCCACAGCCAAGTACTGCTCACTTTTATTATACCTATGAAGCCATAATAAAGGTAAACTAATGATATATAGGCAAGGCATTATTTTTTTTAATTCATTTAAATGTTTTATTAAAATACTTATCCTTTCTGGAATGCTCCTCATAATATATGGTGAAGCTAGTCATCTTTCTAGATATGACACACATTTTGTTGATCTTGAATATTTTCACTCATGTTACTAAAGGTGACAAGTAGTCAGTTTTAAATATAACAATATGGAAGGAATTCTTGTCTTGATGGCTGACAAGTAAAACATACCTTAGAAAGTGGTGCATTTCTGGACTGCCGCAGTTTTTTGAGGGAATGAATTGCATCTAGGACTGGTCGGATGTCAGAGGCAATCTGCTTCCTGAAGCTTTCCAACTCTTTGAGGAGACCCAGTATCTTATCCAGAGATGTTTGTGCCTCCTTCGGTAAAAGCACCTGGCGTATGGTGAATATGACAAACAGTAGGACCAAATGTGATTACTTAGGCAGGGCACAATGAAACCAGAAACCATTAAATCCCATTTATTCCAATAGGAGCATCACACACCTATTTAAATTAACTTTAAAACAACTTTGCCAGGATTCACTAGAATGATGTTATAAGATTAAAACTGCGGGGAATAAGATAATTTCTATAACATTCCAATTGAACACTGGTCACAAATTTCCAGGATTTCACCTCTGCTTTAAAGCAGTGCAGTACAGTTTTGAAGATAAATATGTCCTTCTGAGACAACGAAGAGAAAGAGGTTTCCGTATTCCAACAGCTTTGGGAAGGAAAGTACATTTTTCAAGGCAATATCTGCTCTGAGGCCAGGAAGTATAAACTTTCCCCTGTGAGAGTTATTGTTCCTGTTAATAATTCCAGCAGTCTTTAATGCCTGTGAATGACCATCTACACTCTTCCTCTGAGAACAGTGCACTGGACAAGATATAGAGCCGAATCACAGCATACTTACAGATGGAAGGCCCTGTCAATAATCTGAACTTCCCCCTGGGCGTCACTGATCCTTGGGTCTAACTGCACCTCAGGCTCTGCATTTGCTGCTAATGAACTATTGTGGAGATGCGCCAGACTTCGTGATTTTGGTATGATGTTCTGAAAGGGACAAGACTTCTCTTTCTTCCATAACTTCCTCCCCCTCCCAGGGTCCAGTAAAATCTCAAAGTGCGAGAACAGAACCACAGGAAATAAGCAGTACTCTACTTAGCCCAATGAAAATGTTTGCTGCACTAGTCACAACCAGGATCTGTCCCCTGATCTGCATGCTGCCATCCCTAGCTCCAGCCTTGCCCTATAAGCAATCCTTCCTCAAATCAGAGATCCTGCCTGAAGATGTTAAGCCTCTAAACCTTCAGGTACACGGCGGGTCTACTGCTCTGGAAAGGCATAAAGTTGAGCATCAGGGTCTAGCACCCATGTTTGGGCAGGTCTCCCCTTCTTGTTGAGATCTTTCAAGCAATGAGATAATCTGAAGACACAGGGCCAGAACAAGCTGACTTGAGCACTTCTTTTATCCAAACTGACTTAACGAGAGCTTGAACAAGTTGTGTGCGAGTGTATGTTTTACGGTGGCAAAGCTGACTGGGGGATTCTTGGAGCAGTAGTCAAAAAAGGTAACTTTTCCAGGCTCTGGACCCACCCCTCTCCATTAGGTCCATCTTGTCATTCATAGGATGTGATGATATAGCAGAAGAAATATTCTATATTCAATTTATTTTAATTTTGTAAAGAAGTATTCAGTTTATAACTCTAATGGAGTTAATTATTACCATTTTAAAAAAAAATCTATAAAACTATCTCCTACAGATAAAGAATCTCCTACAAAAGGCTGCATCTTCAAATATATGTACAACAGGAGCTCTGCAGGTGGTTAAACAGCAGTCAACGTAACATGATGTTGTTGAGCAATGCCTAACCATAAGAATTCTTTCAAATATTGTTTGTCATTTTAAAAAAAACCTTTGAGATAATGATGTCCAGATGAGAAACCGTATATAACACAAGTAACACAATAGATGAGACAAACCTTATATATGAAGTTGTATACATCGAGGTAATGAAGAAAGGTGACCCCCAAAAGATAAGACTTGTGGGCCCTTTCTGCAAGTGACAGGTGACAGAACTGCTGTGTCACAAGTTCCAGCTTAGCATCATTAGCATCGGTATCACAAGGCTCCAGTTGCAGCACCTGAAAAATCAGCTGTATTGACATAGAAGGATAACAGGTTGTTAAGTAGACAGTTCTCTCTAATGGGGATAAATTAAGCAGCTCCCTCTTTTTCTCGTTTAAAATTTTGCCCTGGGCCAACTTGCAAAGTGGAGCACAGAGAACAAGATGTCATTTTCCACACAATAACCAATATATTGGGAGATTTCTTTAACATGTTGCACGCAAGCACACCAGTTATGCACATTTGATATCAAGTCAGTGTACAGTTTCTGAACTAGAACAGAAACCAAATTACAATCCCATAATCCCTTTGGGCAGTTCTAGTAAAATCAAATTGCTAGAACTTGTATCATGCAGAGAGACTTTAAAAATAGCTTTTACGAGTTGAAAGCAGTCTGTGAGAGGCTCTGTCTCATATGACACATATATCTATACTGGTTTTATTCCATAAAAAGCAGATTTTGTTCACTGATTCAGACATTTGCCTAACCTGATTCCAAAACCCTGCAAAGCTTAAATGAGTGAGCAAATGTCTAACCATTACCCGATATTATCCTTAAGGAGCAGATAGGATTTTGATCGCCTTGTTTCATACAGATGGGCACTTTATAAAAAATTATATGGAAAATTTTCTTTATTTGTGTCACAGCATTGCACAATTTAAAATTATGGACATATATGAAATACAGGTAAAATTTAAAACAAACCAAAATGTTAAAATACCTTGACTATTTTTAATAGAAATGAGCTGCTTCAGTAGCATTATCTCAGCCATTTCCTAGATCTTCTTTTCTACATGTGGTGGGTCATAAACTGCATGCACATAAGTACTGCATCAATTGAATTTCTCCACAGTAACAGAAAAATTGCCCTGTACACAAGTCATCCCTTTTACTTGATTATTCTTTGATCTTCCCACTTTGATTCAAAATCTATTAAAAGACTTCCAGATGATCCAGGTGGAGCCTTGTCCAGGAGATCTAAAGGTTATGGGAAACATTCTAGAAAATTCTACCTTGTTTTTTTTAAGGCAATACTGTGCTGTGTAGCCAGTTTGTGCTTTAACAAGCCTTCCCCTCAACAATGATCCCTGTATTAGAAGCAGCTGATATATGAAGACTTTTTCCTCTATTACTATTATATTTTATTCTCCTGGACATTATGTCATACTATTAAAATCCGTCTGTAATCTCTGACAAGACGCACTGTAAGCTAAAGGGGTGACACTACACTACAGAGGCCCCTACTTTATAGATGGAAAAATGAATAAGAAATGTGAGCTACTAATTGATGTCAGTCATGTAATTCCCACCACAGATTGCAGACACAGCCACGTATGCATGTATGGGACCATACATACATGCGTACGTTAAGCCCTTGCTATGAAAAGTAAGTTAATATTTGGTAGCACTCCTAATAAACTTGCCTGGGTTCTGTTTTCTGGAAGAGGCATTTCCATCAAAGCATTGATACTCTCTGATGACATTCCAATCAAATTTCTGAGATCATTCCGGAGGTCATCAACGTTTCTGAACAGATCCATTAGCATGTCTTTAAAACACCACAAAACAAATATTTAAAAAATCATATTTTGCTCCAGACTTCATGCTGCTTACACAGAGAACTTACATTAGGCTTTCCGAATAATGAGAGAGAAAAAAATGCCTCAAGAGTGTCACCATGTGGTGCATTTAAATGCAGAAGAACTCCATTCCCAGGTTGGCAATTATTTTGTATTCCTGTACTGAGAGATCTGAGGCTGCGGTATCATTTTAAGGCTGTTTGGTATTCAGAGGAGGATGATTCTTGTGTCTTTTTTCCTTACTTAGATGTTTTCCATATGCATACATTAATAAACACATAAATTATATAAACCCTAGGCGGTGACCTCTCACCTACTACATGTTGTCCGTCTCTTCTGTCACAGAAGCTAAGAAAAAATACCAGGTGCATATAAATTTCCAATTTTAATCTTGTCTCTAAATCTTATTAAAAGAACGTTTTGCATTGAACAAATATTTCATTTGATTCAATCCTTGCTTAAAAAAATAATAAAAAAAACAAGCAAATCAGTTTTCCATTTAAAGACAATTTCAGTCCTAGTTATTAGCAATACACTTATTACTAACTCTGTGTTTTACTGCAAACAGTATTTTACTTTCCCCTTCCTGATGGCGTGGCTGCTGTTAATATGATGAGCAGGTGAGTAGGTCCCTGATGATGCAGCTGATGTTATTAGTCCATAATAGTATTTCCCGAGAGGAAATCTATAACTACAACAGGATTAGAGAACTGGATAATACCATTATCCATCCAGAAGGAGCTAATTTATTAGCTAATTCTCCAATGTGATATATGTCCTAATCTTTCAATAATGCCCTTCTAGCACCATGTAAGCTAAGAGCGGGCACTCTCCAGAGTTCTGAAGTTGCACGTGCTCATCTTTTGACTTTGGAGGGCCACATCTACTGTTACCCCACAAACAACCACAACCACATAAAACCATTTGAAAAATCCTCTTTGGTGGGGGGGTCACATAATGAATGTGCCTCAACACATCCCAGAGGGCACAACAGAACTTGTTGAGCCTTTAAAAAAGAAAACAACTACAAACATCTGTGGGTGCTGGGGGGGGCTGCCTGTGGCATGGGGGTGGGTAAATTTCTCAGAATTTGCCTGGCCAGTGGCTGGACCAGCCAGATAGTTCTGGGAGATAAAGTCCAAAAAAGTAACTTCTTAGAGCTCTTGACAAGAAATTAGAATCTATCAGTAAGATGAACTTCATTTTTAAGGACTCTGTCCAGAGTAAGGGTTTAAATGAGGATTTGAATGAATATAGCAAAACTAGAAACAGTGTACTGTCATTAATAACAGCTTCAGTATTTATATATCCTTGTCCTATTTATTTATTTATTTATTTATTTATTTAATTTACAATATTTTTAGCCGCACCATTGCCTACTGTTAACCTTTCTTTCTATATTCTTTTTGTTATGTTGGTCAGAACTATATTATTCACACAGCCCCATGTAAGTCCATCAGTGTAAATCTTAGCATTTACAGTCACGTGACTCAACATGCAACAGCAAATGCCTTTGCTCACTTTCTTAACCTGCAGCAATTCACAATTAAAATTTATGCCAATGGGCTTAACATCTGTGTGACAATTGCAGTGAGGCCAACCAGCTTGGGCCTACCACTGCGCTTCCTGTCACTCTAGCTGACAAGAGAACATGGGTTCATGACTGGCACCCAGTGAAGCCATTACGTGAGGAACAGCAGGCCAGGAGAGCAAGCCTCTCTGTGGGGGACTTGATGACAGTCCATGGTCATTGCCAGCATACCCTGAATACATGGGGAGGGGGCTAAAGAGCAGGACTTGGAAGAGGAACTACACACACAGCATACAGGGAAGAGGCGGCAAGATCCAGAGAAGGCACCTGGAACTTGCATCAAACATATTGCAGTTCTGTGTGAGGAGGATGGAGTTCAAAGTTGAAAAGGAAAAAAACCCAGCTCCTTGTGCTGGGACAACTTGTGGCTTTTTGGAGTTCTCTCCTAGTATCACCCACCAAATGCAGGGGGAGAGACTCTATCCTCTACAGGGAAGAACTATTGATTAGGAATGGGGTGAGTTAGGCAGACACAGTTGGTTCTGTTGGGAAGACCTGGACCTCAGGAAATGGAGGTGAAAAGGTTTTGAAATAAAAGTCACAATACATGACCTATCAGGTGAATTTGATGTGTGTCACCCATATGTCTGTGTTGGAAGGGTCATATGATGTCCCCCTGCCCAGGGAGGACACTGAGGGTTTCACAATCAGCATAATTTTTCATTTCAATTCTGGACATTATGTATACATCTGACAACTCAGATTGGCAGCATTTATACACCTGAAAGCAACCCCTTCAACTTGTCACAATAAAACGGTTAGCCTTTAAGATGCCAGCAGACTTTTCTTTGTGTTGCCTATAGCTAACTAATATGGTTGTTCCTCTGGATTTTAGCATATTAAAAGCAAACTGGAAATAGTTCAATCTACATTTCCATTTGAGTTTTTTTTCCCCAAAAGACTGAGGTGAAAACTTGTAATAACTTTTTGAAGTGCAGAAATTACCTTGTTTTCTGGAATATGTCATATTTTTGGTGAAGTTCATTATGGAATTCAGAGAAGCTATATACTTGGGTATATCCCGAAGATATGTAAGCTGTGGCACATTTTCTTGTAACCTTTTGTTTTTTTAGGGAAAAGAAAAAAAAATACTTGTTATTTCTTCCTTCAGTATGAAAAACACAGAGAGTATGTTGAAGAAAGTCTTACCAGTTAATCTGTTGGTGAATTTTTTGGGGATCCCCAATGACTATTTCCCGAATTTCTTCAGAGACACGTCTAGGTTTAATGGAGCTCGTCACAGCACGACCACTTAGTTCTACGGCATGAAGAAGTTTCTTGTGGAACTCACTTTGACTGCATAGTTCCGTAAAGCTAATGTCAGGAAGCTGGCAGGTTTGCTGCAATGACCGAATGCTCTCGTGGTCACAAAGGAGTGATGTCAAGTTTCGGAGGCGAATTAGCTTTACATACAAGAGAGGTACAGAGATTATTTATCAGCGAATGATAAGCCATGAGGAAGGGAAGCTAGCAAACACAAGGGGACAGGAATATTGTTCCAGTTTTAGGGGGAGGGTGGCATTTCATGTTCTATCTATGGGCTGTGCAACAGAGACTCAAGAATGGTTTTTCCCTAGGCTTGGAGTGAGTCTCTATTGCAGCGTGTGTGTGTGTGTGTATGTGTGTGTGTGCATGGTGTGTGTGCGTGTGGGTGTGGGTGTGTTTGTGTGGGTGTGCGCATGCATGAGCAGCAAACCCACTACCTAATATGTGCACTTGGGCTTCCTGTCTGCACCTGTTAGTATCAAGAGGCTACTTACTTTTAATATCAGGATGTCTGGAACTGATGAATAGCTCTTGTCAGTAGCATGGGGGGTTAAGAGAACCCTTTTCAATTGCACCATGTCTGGAGGAAGAGTAGAATGTTCTGTGAAGAAGAACAATTACCTGTTCATTTGTCTATTTAAATAGATGTTATTACAAATTCCTGTCCAAATGAATCACAAAGGACTAACGTATAAAAGCAGGTACCTTTTCATTTTCTTACAGATGGAAATGTAGTTAGGGAAAGAACGAGACTGAGTAGATGGAAGTGAAAAAATTAAACCTAAAGGCCATTCTCTTTTCTAAAACATACCTCTGTAACTCAATTTGGTGAAACAAAACGGAGGGATGCATGTCACTGTCACAGGAGTCAGCCCTCAAAAGCTAAGGTGACAGAATCAAATCTGAATAGAAGCCATTCATACTGATCTGGAAATCTTGCCCCTGACCCCAGTCCCAGACACACAGGGTCAAGTTAGTCAGCACTGAGATGGAGGCACACCTTACATGCTCAGAGGTGCCCCCTTCCCTGTTAATACTTTCTATGTTTTGAGTCAAATATGTTAAGATGAAAAAAAAAATTGCTGTGCACTTCTGATTTTTATCAATTACCTTAATGACTTTCCAAAACTAAATAAAAGATAAAGAAATAAAGACACTCTTCAGTTAGTTCTTTCTAGGACTCAGCCTAGCAGGATGGTTTTTGGATGGACCATTTGTGGAATCAAATATTTCTCACAATGAAATACTTATATCTAAAACTCCAGAAGAGCCTCATAGCACAGTGGTTAAACCGCTGTACTGCAGCCAAAACTGCACTCACAACCTGGGGTTCAATCCCAGGCAGCTGGCTCAAGGTTGACTCTGCCTGCTATCCTTCTGAGGACAGTAAAATAAGTACCCAACTGCAAATGTGCAGCCTGCATAATTAACTTGTAAACTGCCCAGAGAGTGCTTTAAGCACTGTTAGACAGTATATACACAGCACACTTTGCTTTGTTTTTTTTACCAGTGAATGAATTTGTATGAGCTAAAGAAACTTTATTTTCTGTAATTTTTTTTAATATACCAAATTCTAAAACCAATAGAATTGAAGTTCCTTGAATATCTTTTATTCAGATAATTATATATATATATTTTTAAAAAAGGCAAAAGCCAGCAAGTTTTACACTCCGGGGAGAAATCGCATTAGCCCTCCAGCTGTACTGGACTTACAAGAGCCTTTTCCACTGTATATGCACATAAAGTGTGAGTGGCAGGTAAGCCATTTCCTAAACGCTTGGGAGGTACACATGGGGGAAACTCCTATTGATTACAACTGCCTGGCTCCTGCCCAAGAATATATGACTGCCAGTATATCCAGAACACATTTGGTTGCCCTCTAACTCTTAAGATGTGCCCTGGGGAATGTTTCAGGAACAACTACAAAGTATGCCATTATCAAAACATACATTACCTGGCAAATCACTATCAAGCTCTTTGGTTGCATTCATTATACAAGCCAAGTA